TCTTAGAACAAGAAATAAAATTTTTTTAAAGAAAAATTTGCAAAATTAGCCCACCTGTCAACCAAGTCCAGCATTATATTCAGTGTTTCCCACCCATGGTGTCCTGTACCTTTAGATTTTGTAATTCATATTTGTCACAATAAAAGATGGGAGAGTTAATTTGTATTTTTGATAAGAGTTAGTCTAGTTGAGAATGTTGATTGTTTTTTTTGAACAACAAAAATGAACATTTGCATATAAAAAGAATAGAAAAAGAGAATCATATGTGAAGCAATCTCTGTTATATACACCTTGTGTGTATATATTGATCTATCATATATTTAAATATAGATATAGATATATATCTCACAGTCCCAAAGCTATCTCTCTTGTCTCTGTTTCTCTCTAAATCTCCTTCTGTTCTCATATATGTATTTTTAAAAATACTTCTTTGACACTTTTTCTTTTCTTGTTTTTGGCATTGCTATAACCAGCTCTCTCTTCCTGCCAGTTCTTTCCACCTCCCCCTCACAGAGGAAATATCCCTCCCTTTGTAAAAAATATCATAGTCAAACAAAACAAATCTGTGCATTGGTCATTGTGTTCCTACACCTCTAGTCCATTTTGTCCCTGTCAAGAGAGTAGGAAGCATGTTTCATCATTTATCCTTTGGAGTCATGGTCAATAATTACATTGATCAGAGTTATTAAAATGTCTTTCAAAGTTGTTTTTCTTTACCATGTTGTAGTCATTGTTCATTTCTTACAGCACTGTAGTATTCCACCATTAATTGTATACCGTAACTTGTTCAACCATTCTCCAATTGACGGGCATCCTCTCAATTTCCAGTTCTTTGCCCACCACAAAGAGAGCTGCTATTAATATTTTAAAACATTTAGGTTCTTTTCCTTTTTTCCTAACCATCTTTGGAAATAGAACTAGTAGTGGTATTGCTGGGTTAAAGGATATTTAGTCAGTTAAATAACTCTTCGGGCATAATTCCAGATTGCTCTCCAAAATGGTTGGATCAGTTCACAGTTCTGCCAAAATTAGAGAGAAACAGAGACAATTTTTCCACATTTCCAACATTTATCACTTTCCCATTCAATCATTTTAGCAAATCTGATAAGTGTAAAATATCATGAGATTGTTTTAATTTTCATTTCCCTAATCAATAATGATTTAGAACATTCATATAACTGTACATTGTTTTAATTTCTTTATTGGAAAACTACATGTTCATATCCTTTGACCATTTATCAATTGAGGAATGTCTCATATTCTTATAAATTTGACAAAGTTCTTTATATATTTGAGATATGAGACCTTTATGTAAGAAACTGTCTATAAAATCCCCCCCCCCCCAATTTTCTGCTTTTCTTCTGATCTTGGCTACATTTGTTTTATTTATGCAAAACCTTTTTAATTTAATGTAATCAAAATTACCCATTTTATACCTTACAATGCTGTATATATCTTTGTTTATTCATGAATTATTTGCCTATCTGTAAGTCTGTTTCAAATTTTCTTGTAGTATCTCTCTTTATATCTAGGTCTTGTTTCCATTTTGACCTTATATTGGTCAGTGGTGTAAGATATTGGTCTCTGCCCAATTTCTGCCAGACTTTCCAGCTTTCCAGACAATTTTTACCAAATAATGAATTCTTATCCCAAAAACTTAAGTCTTTACAACTTGTCAAATGCAAGGTTACTATAGTCATTTGCTGCTGTATGTCTACTTTGTTCCACTGATCTACCTTTCTATTTCTTAGCCGGTACCAGATAGCTTTGATAATTATACCTTATAATATAATTTCAAGATTTGGTACTACTAATTCTCCTTCCTTTATATTTTTTCATTAATTCTTTTTATATTCTTGACTTTTTGTTCTTCCAAATGAATTTTGGCATCATTTTTTCTAACTCAGTAAAATATTTTTTGGTAATTTAATTGGAATGGCATTGTATATATAAATTAGTTTAGGTTTAATTGTCACTTTTATTATATTGGCCCTTCCTTCCCATGAACAATAAATTTCTTCCAGTCATTTAAATCTGGTTTTATTCATATAAAAAAGTGGTTTTGTTGTTGTTGTTAGGTTTTTTTTTTTCTTTTTTACAATTCTGTTCATATAGTTTCTGGGTTTGTTTTGGCAGGTGTACTCCCAGGTAATTGTTGATAACTTGGATTTCTTCCCTTGAGAACTTCTTGTTTATATCCTCTCACCCCTTTTACATCTATTGTGGAATGGCTTTCATACTTATATATTTGAATCAGATCTCTATGTATCTTCGCTGTCAGACCTTTATGTGAGAAACTTAAACAAAGAATTTTTTCCCTGCAGTTAACAGATTCTCTTCTAATTTTAACTATATTAATTCTGTTTGTGTCAAAACTTTTTAGTTTTATGTAATCAAAATTGTCTATTTTATCTCCCTTGTTTCTGTTTTTCCTTGTTTGGTCGAGGATTCTTTTCTCTTCCTAGCTGCAAAAAGTATCTCCTTCCTTGTTCTTATAATATGCTTAAGTGACCTTTTATACTTGAGTTGTATGGCCATTCAAAGTTCATTTTGTGAGTTAGAGTCCAGACCTAATTTTCTGCCAGATTACTTTCTCATTTTCTGTAGATTCTATCACAGAGTCGGTCCTTACCCCAGTCATTGCGCTCTTTGGGTGTTTCAAACTCTGTGCTACTCTCTTCATTTGTTTCTAGATCTTGTCCCCCTAATCAGGAGAATTTTAGTTTCCAGTTTATGTTTCTGGTACCTTGTGGTAGAGCAGATGAAAAGCTCCATAGTCTGGGTTCAAGGGCTGGCCCTGGGATGTCTTGTAGCTCAGAGTCACAAGTCATTTAATTTGCCGAGCCTCAGTTTCCTCATTTGTGAAAGGGGCATGATCATTCTTTCATCTCCTCCCATTGAGGATTGTTATGTGAAAGTGGTTTGTAGAGTGAGTCATAATTTCTGTATGAAATGGTGACCATTTAGTGTATTTTCCTGAGCCAGTGTTTCCCATAAAGTCTCAGTAAGGCAGACATTATGGACAGTCTGAAAACCCAGAACAGGGTTGTTGGGAGAAGGGAAGTGGCACGTATTCCAAAGGGTGTCTTACCGTTGCACTTCATCACTAATGATAGTTTGCTTCTGCGAGTAGTCAGTTTATGAAGTGATCAAGCAGTAGTATGTAGTATGTAGCAGTATGGTGCAAGACAACGCAGATGGCACCTGATTTGCCTGTTAGCTAACATAGGGAGAAAAGGTCAGATTTCCATCTTTGAAATGTGGTCTGCCAAAGTGCTCAGGTCATTCCATATGAATCAGAGATGAACCAGAATGCAAATAGAAATATTTCAGATTATAAGGGGAAGTGCTTACCCCAAATTAAACTATCATGTGTACCAGTCTCTTGTAATGAAATCTGGCCCCTAGGGGATTTCTAGAATTGGTCTTTAACCAAACAGAGCATAGTCTACTTTTTTTACATGAATAGGTCTTCTGATTTCTTAATCAGGTATGTGTTAAATGCCTGCTATGTGCCAGACACTGGGCTTGGTGCTGGGGGATATGAGCACAAAGAATGAAATACTCCCTACTTACAAGGAGTTTACATTCTACTGAGGAGAAAACAAAGATATAAACTTAATGCAGTGTCAACATAAAGTGAAAATTAGTGTAAATATATACTAAGTAGTTTATGTGTAGATATAGATGTAGATATGGTCTTCTGTCATGCATGTATGTGAAGGACAGTTGAATGACCATTGATGTTTACTTGAGGCTGTAGGAGTGCTCTGATGTTTAACCTCCTTGCTTTTCTTCATGTTCCACTTTGCACTCCTTGTTCCCTGTTTCCACTTTCACATTCACCTACGAATCATCTCAGACTCCTCATTCTCTCTCTCTCTCACCCTCCCACCCCTCCCCACATCCAAGCTATTGCCAAGGCACCATCTTTCAAATACACCCTTTTTTCTCCTCTGACACTGCCTCTGGCCCTGGTGTAGGCATCTCCTCAGACCTAGCATATTGCAGTAACCTGCTAGGCTCAGGGATCTGCCTGCCCCAAGTTTCCCCCCACTACAGTCCATCCTCCATTCAGCCACTAAAGTGGTTTTCCTAAAGCTTAGGTTCAACCATGTCACTCCTACTCAATTACACTTCAGTGGTCCCCTGTGACCTTCAGGATCAAATACAGAATGCTTTGTTTGGCATTCAAAGCCCTTCACAACTTAGCCCTCTCCTACCTTTTACTCTCCATTATGTACTTAAGTGACACTTGGCTCTGGCGCTGGCTCTCCTTATTATCAAATCAATAATAAGCACTTAATCAAATACATGTTGACTTGACTTACCAAATTATCCTAGTAAAACCTGGATTCCTTTCAGTTTTCTCATGTTATCTTTCCCCATCTATGACTGATTGGCCCTTTTTTGGGGGAGTATGTGGCAAGTGAAACAAAAATCACTGGTTGGCTCTCTTTAATCCAGCTAGCTTACTTGTATGTTCTATGGCACCACTTCCTAACTGGAGAGTCCTTAATCTTACATCTGTGACTCTGTCATGACAACAAAGACTTTATTTTACCATCCAAGTATTCTGAATACATGCTCTTTGAAGTTGATCTTTGTCTCAGAAGTAAATTCTTGACAGTCATTAAACTGTGATCAGAATGAAAAATAATATAATTCCTGAAATAGGTGCTTGCTATTCTGAATAAATCCTGGGTCAGGTGGATGCTCCATTTTGGTTCCTCCATCCAGAACAGGTAGGTTGGCCCGTCTTTTAGCCACTTCCACCTTATCATGTCACTCCTAAAGTGCACACTGAGTATTCTGGGCTCAGCTCTAGCAGCACTGGAAGGCCTTTAGCGATCCAAGGACCAGGAGAGAGGGTGAGGACTTACCATCATTCGGCTGGCTCTTGGCTCCATCTAGCAGGTGGTCAAGACTCTAAGGCCTTTGCCTTTTTGAGTCTTGAACACCTCCATGATTTGTTAAATCTCCTTTGCTTCCTCATACAGATCAATCAACCCAAATTGCCCATGCGAACTCTGGACCCTCGGATTTTGCCGCGAGGACCAGACTTTACTCCAGCCTTTGCAGACTTTGGGAGGCAGACATCTGGTGGAAGAGGTGTACCTGTAAGTGCCTGTTCCCTACAACCCAATTAGTTAGAAACTGACCACAGATTCCATGAAGTCTTGCCTCACAGCAAGAGAGCTGCTTGTATTCCTGTCCCAGAGAAGACTAAGTAGAAGAGGTGGAGACTCCCCTTTCCGTGCTAATATTGGAGCAAATAAAGGATACTTTTGAGTGGTTTTAAACCGATAGAAGCTGGTCTGCACTGATTTGGTCTGGATTATTTTTCCCCCCATATTTCTTTCACAATGACCTGCAAATGTCTTAGGAATGGTTGTGCTCCTTAATCACTTGATTAAATTCTGTTGAGGTCCTGAGAAGTGGAGGAAAAGTGCCAGTATCCACCTAATGGGCATCTCTTTGCTTTGTCTTTTCTTACTGCAGATTTGCAAAGTGCAGAGCAGGCATGGCTTACCGATCCTGGAGCAGGGCAAAGCCCCCACGTGCACCCCACTGCCGATGTCTCACCCCCCGCTGAAGAGCCTGCCTCTGGGGGTGCGCTGGATCCTTTTCTTACTGGGCACTCGGGAGGCTGGCATCATCTTTCCTGCTTGTTGCTCTTCCGGTTGAGTGTAGGGCAGGAAATAAGAGTGTGAACATGACATATGCAAAATGGTGCAGTACTGGTAAATTGCAGATGACCGTTACCGCCCCGCAGCCTGCCCCCCCTCCCCCAGGCAGGCTCTTCAGCGGGGGTGTGACCGGCACACCAGCGGTTCACGAGGGGGCACTGCTCAGTGCAGGATTCGGCAGCTGGTGCCTGCTCTGCACTTGGTCGACGTGCTGGGGTCAGCTGTCAGTGACCAGGAAGTCTCCTTGGCCCATGATTCATTGGCACAATCAGCACTTAATGCTAATGTTCTAAAGGAATTCGGGGTCACGTGTACATTTGCAGATCACCCTGTTAAGAGAAATTTATCTGAATGCTCTTTTAAATATTTTTATACAAGGTGATGTATTTTTATTTCCCCACCACCTCTTTTTTTTTCATGACCATTTTTGAAATCTGCTTTGCATTAAGACTGCATTATTGGAAAAGTAAATTCATTTATAGACATTTAAAGTTCATCAACATTTGTGGCAGCTAAACATTGATCAGTTACATTGTCATGCCCACAATGTGCTATGTGCCTCGGTGTGTAAAAAGGGTTCTGACCTAATGAAGTTATCATTATAAAGACACTTTGTATATATAACTGTTGCCTAGTCTCACACAGATTTGGAAATTTGGCAGTTGTTAAACTTTTTCCAAAACCATATTTTGATTTTTCTATTTCCTAAGTGAACTTATCACAAAGTCTAAGAAAGCAGCTTTCTAGAACCATTGAACCTCATATTTTAACAGCATTTTTTCCCTTTCTTTTTGATGGTTTAAATTTGTTCTTTTGTTTTTATTCTTACCATTCAGATTATTCTTATGGTTAACAGCATCTGTGCTTATCATATTGCTCAGCTTTGTTCATATGCCACTCACGTGAAGTATTGATTTCTTTCCTTTATCATGAACATTCACTTTTCTTTACCAGCTTGCTATATGGTGCTTGCCAGTCATTAAAGTCAAGAATAGGTTATAACTCACTTGTACAATAGATTAAGTTACTTTTTACAACATTTTTTATGAATTAAATATTATCAGAATGTATGTTTACATGTTGTTCTAGATTACTCCCTAGATGTGTGTATGTTTATGTGTCATGTGATTCAGTCTGTATCTGATACTGGATATAGTCAGGAAAAAGTGATGGGAATAGAGCCATTAGCAAGAATTAAGTTCTGCAAAACAGAACAATTGGAATTCTTTACTCCTTTTCTCCGAGTAGCTCTGTAATACTGCCAAAGCTAGTTTTTAGATCAAATTGGAGCATTTTTGGGCGTAGTAATGACCTGATTCAGCCAGGCTAATCTTGCTTCATACTTTAACTAACACTTGGGCTTACATCCCAGCCTCTTATTGCTTTTCATATTTCAGCCCAAATTGTTGGATGTTTTTAAACTTCAGGTTTTTAGTGATATGTTAATTTTGTAACACACTTGAGCAAAACTTTGGAAAAAGGGTTACTTAAGATCCTCAAGTGTGTCCCACATGAAATTAGAATAGAGAGGAAGATTAGAATATTATGTTTTAAAAATGCTAACCTACTGGGTTTTTTTCTGTCCTTTTGTTATATTACTTTAGAAACATGCCTGCTGTCATGTGATTTTTCAGAATTCTGTTGATGTTGTAGAGGAAGGGGGACTCCTTTTTTGGATCAGCACTGGCCTTGCCTTCTTAATATACATTTTTATCTTAGCAGATCATAGAAACAAGTGCCAAAAATAATGTGACTCTGTTTGTAGTTCTGGGCCCTGCATTCATTATACAAATTACTTTAATTTTTAAGAATTACCAGATATGGGGCAGCTAGATGGCACAGTGGGTAGGGCACCGTGTGGCCCTGGACTCAGGAGGATCTGAGTTCAAATCCAGCCTCAGACGTTTGACACTTCCTAGCTGCATGACCTTGGGAAAGTCACTTAACCCCAATTGCCTCAAAAAAATGACCAGATATGATAAATTGTCTTAACATATTAAATGTACTTAAATTAGTTCTCAGAGTAACTTAGGGTATTTACAACTCCTATATCTTCTGCTGTGACCAACTAAGAAAAGCATTTTAAATTGATCAGCAAATCAGTCTGTCCCTCATGTGCAGTTTAGTAAAAATTCCAAGTAACAGCCCCATTGATGCAAGGTAAAGTATTGCATGTGGCTATTTTCTGTGGACTGATGGAGTTTCAGGCTGTGGGATTTCTGCAATTTCTTTATAAAAACCATGTGGGTGGTTGTTTGGTATCTTTAATGGGGAAAGAGGGCAAAGAATGGAGAATGAAAGAGATGCCATTACAACAACATTTTAAATTAGTTGAAAAGATAGTCAAAGCCTAGTGGTGGAGAGACAGTGGTCCTCTCTCCACCATCTTTTTATGGTGCCCCCAAAGTACTCCAAACACAGAGAGTTCATTTCGGATCTTTACTAAGGACTTTCTCTGTGCCATTTCCCTTTGCTTGGCCCTAGGGAGTAGACTGATGAATAAGGTACAACCTTGTATACTTAGTTTAAGAAGCTTACATAAAGTTTAATAGGAGACTTAGGATATAGACACAGAGAATTTTAACAGAAAACAGAACAGAGGGTGAGACCAGAAGTCACTCCCCTCCCCCCCCACCCCCCCAGCTCTAAATCATGACCTTAGCAGTGAAGTGAAGAGGTTCCAAAATTGAAAAAAAGAAAAATCTTCAACTTCTGGTGATAGAATACAGGTGAAATTCATCAGTTCAACTGCCATTTACTGTGAGCACTCACCATTGCCGTGCCCTCTGCCAGGTGGTGGTGGTTGTAAGACATCTTTGCCATCATTTCCTAAGGGTGATGGGACAAATATACATTAGCTTTTAAAATGGACAGTGGGTAAAAATCAGCAACTCTCCATTTCCTTAGAAGAAGAAAGTGGGGCAAGGTATTAGCTTGTAAGTGATTGCACCCTCCTCAGGGAATCTGCCACAAAGGGGCCTGTGGCTTTGACTAGCTACTTAAACCTCCCAAACATAATTGTAAAACAGAGATTGTAAGCTCTGCAATGGCAGGTGAAGCTGAGCCTGTTGGTATATGATAAAACGCTGAAGTAGGAACAGGGTCCTGGCTTCTAGTTTCTATTGATTCTTGAACTAACTCTCTTTTCTCCCTAGGTCTCGATTTACTCATTTGTAAAATGACAAAGTTAGGTCAGATGATCCCTCTCTATAACTATACTTCTGTTTATGTCCTATAGCTCCACATGAAATAATATACAGCAACTCCTAGTACTGAGTCCTAGGAAAATGTTTACAGGGATTATGTAGGTAGGGACGAGATATTGACAGAATTATCTGAGGTTTTGCTGCTAATAATTCTTGTAAGGCACTATATGAATTAAAAGACATGGAAAATACTTAGTGATTATCATTTGAAGGCATGCTAGGTGGCGCTATTGGATAGAGCTCCTGCCCTGGAGTCAGAAGGACAAGTTCAGGTTCAGCCTCAGACACTTACTAGTTATGTGACTCAGGGCAAATCACTTAACCTGTTTGCCTCAGTTTCCTCATCTGTATAATGAACCAGAGAAGGAAATGGCAAACCACTCCAGTGTCTCTGCCAAGAAAACCCAAAAAAGGGGTCACAAAGACTTGGAAAGAACTGAAATGACTCAAGACAACAAATTATTTGAAACCATTACATAGCAGTTAAATGAGTTTCCATTGGATTTTTGTTGATAATGAAGTCTATCCATTTCTTTAGAAGAAGTGTGTGTATATATACATACATATACACAGTACACAGTATATATGTATAATTAACTATTCTTATCTGATCAGTTTATGTATATATGAGAAACTGATCAGATAGAGTAGACAATTGGTATCATTAGCTAATTAAGTTTTTTTGAATTACAGGCCAGAAATCCTTAAGGACATTAATAGACCTTGATAAATCACGTTACATTTAATAAACAGTTCACACTTATGAACAATATCATCCTTCAGAGATGTAACTAACTTGACCTCAGAATGAGGAAATATGAGTTTGTAATTTCAACTACTCAACTCTAGACTATTGGCAGCTCATCAGTTAATTTCTTGTTCCTTCGTCTTTCCCTTAGACATCTAGTTTGCACTGAGATCTTCCAATAACATTTTTAAGCTGCCTGGATTGACAAGATCTATCTATATAAATTTATGTTTTTTGGTAGAAAGATTAGATATAACTGCTGTTTGTCACCTTCCAAATAAATGCAAATCCCAGGATTTATACATGGGTATTCAAGGAAATGAAAGAATTTGCTTCCTAAAGTTAAGCAAAGTATACATTTTCATTCGTTTCACTCTAATTTTAAGTACATCCAGTAGCAGTTCTTGGCAAACTGAGTGATGAAAACACTGTGGCAAAAGTTAATGTCTTGTGATATAAATTTAAGTATGAGAGGTACCCAGTTACCACAAAAGACATTTAACTCACTAGGCATGGACATTAGGCTATAAGGTGAATGATTAAGATACAGACAGTATTTTGATTCTTCCTTTTTAGTGAGAATTATTGTCTTTGTGTCTTCTTCATATTAACTGCTGGCAGTAAATGTTCCTCTTGTACAGTGTATTTTTGAGAAATCCTTCTTATAGAATGCTATTGTCTTCTCAGTGCTACCCTTTCACTAGCAGGGTGTCCTACTTCATTTTCCTTTCGCTATTACTTGATGATATTCAGTCATTTCTGGATCTTTGTGACCCCTTTGGGGAGTTTTCTTGGCTAAGATACTAGAGTGGTTTGCCATTTCCTTCTCTGGTTCATTTTACAGATGAGGAAACTGAGACTAGTAAGTGTCTGAGGCTGAATTTGAACTGAGGTCCTCCTGACTCTAGGGCTGATGCTTTATCCATTATGCCATCTAGCTGCCCTCGTTAATAACCTGATACTTCAGTCATGTCTGAATTTTTGTGATCCCATTTAGGCTTTTCTTGGCAAAGATACTGAATGATTTGCCTTTTCCTTCTCCAGTTCATTTTACAGAGGAAGAACCTGGGTCAAACAGGGTTCAGTGACTTGCCCGGGGTCACACAGCTAGTGAGTGTCTGAGGCCAGATTTGAACCCAGGGAGATGAGTCTTTCTGATTCCAGGCCTAACGCTCTGTCCACTTCGCCACCTAGCTGCCCTGGTGTTACCTGATACCTGGCTTTCAATTCGGCGTTTTCCCTGTTTTTAAACGTATGTCCTCCAACTCTCCCCCTGCCTCCACCACCCCCCCCAAAAAGCATGGGGATTCTTTGTTAGCTGTGCCCAAGGCATCCTTAATCCTGTGTATACAGCAAAGACAAGAACTCATGTGTTATTGTATCAAGAACACGGGTCTAGAAGTTAGAACTAACTTCTTTTTGAGCTGTGGTTCCACTGTTTCCCCTGGGCCAATTAGATTTCTCTCTCTTGGCTGGTGTTTCCTTCTCTATAAAAAACAAAGGTACCAGAGGCATGATTAGACAGCAGTTGTAAAAGAAAATTCCAGAGATTTTAGTGAACTAGTAGCTTATGTAGCCCAAACGTGGGGAAATGAGAGTCCCCCAGTCCTCTGACCTTATCCAACGTAGTCTAGAGCATTGTTTTCTGTTGTGAAGTGCCACCCTTGTTAAGAAGGACGTTAATTAGCAGGAGTATCCAGAGGAAGGCAACCAGGATGATGAAGGGCCTTGAGTCCATATCATCACAGAAGGATCAGGTGAAAGAATTGGGCATGTCTTGGCCCAGAGAAGAGTCAGGGGGCTGTGCTGTCTTTCAGGATCTGAAGGTTGGTCCTGTATAGGATGGATTCTGTCTGGTCCTAGAGGGCACAAGCAGGAAGAGTGAGTGGAAGTGGCCAAGAGGCTGCTTTAGGCTTGGGATCAGTGAAAAATCACTGACCAAAGTGGAATGGGCTGCCTCCAGAAGCTGGGGGTTCCTTTCGTGTTTCAGTTGAACTCGAGATCCCCTGAAGTTCCTTCCAGCTCTCTGACTGTCGGTGACCTCCCGGCTGCCTTCCTGTTCTAACATTGTCTGATTCTAGCTGGTCGCAGGGCACACAGTGCCGGCTTTCCAAAACGCCTACATTTTATTTGATGGTGGCACTAATGAGTGCTGGAACAGTTTACGTTAATGCTGCCAATTCCTTGCCAGCACAGCCATTTCTAATTAGCTTGAATGGCACAATGTAAAAGGAAGGATGTGAAAGGATCTCAGTCTGTGTAAAACCTTTCAAGGCTTTGTGCATTTCATGAATAAACATCAGTCTGTGGGCTTTATCTCTGCATTTGCCCTCGTGGAGAACGTGACTTTTCTCCTTCAAGCACCATAGGAGTGCTGAAATGCTATGTGGTGGCCCCACGCCAGATGTGATTCCAGCTGATAAGAGTTGGGTTTGGGGGAGCTAAATTGTGATAGCTGCTTCCAGCACTCAGAGAAGTAAATGTCAGAAAAAGAGGTGTCTGTCATCACATCCTGGATCTCAGATTCACCACGCCGTCAAGTTGCCAGCCAGAGTCGGCCTAAACCTTTACATTGGAGGAATGATAACTAAGCAATGAAAAGATGTACTGTGATGAATGTTTTATAGGACAGGATGTCACATTTTGCTTAGCCTGTTGTCCCCTGTCATTACATCCTTTAATTTTGATGACTAGAATGACGTGGTGACATGTAGTGGTTGCAGCAGAGTATGAACAATACAGGATCACAGGGGAGCAGAGAGAGCTTATTGAAGAAACTGCAGGAATATGGTGTTAGCTTCTATATGCAGTCGTTCATAATAGGCTGTGCTCCACGTGGACATAGGCATCTGTTAGAGAAACGTAGAGACAACAGGAAGCTTATATTGGAACTTAATTATTGACCAAGTTCTGTTTTAAAATGCAATTTAGATAACATGGACAAGCATGTACTACATATGCCTTCTTTTTCCCTTCATATTTCCAGCTTAAGAAATAGAATTTTCCAAAAGAAAAACCAAAATCGGGGGCAGCTAGGTGGCACAGTGCATAGACCACCAGCCCTAGGGTCAGGAGGACCTGAGTTCAAATCCGGCCTCAGACACTTAACACGCATTAGGTGTGTGACTCTGGGCGAGTCACTTAACCTCAATTGCCTCACCAAAAAAAAAAATCTTAATGTGTCCCTTCCCAGAAATTAATTATAAGGGATTTATTTATAATCCCATTCAATTCTAACAATATAGAAATGTATTTCCTTGGAGCAGATTTGGTGCTATTACTTTTAAGCTGTATACTTATTAAGTTGTAAAAGTCACACAAAGGATGGATAGCTACTTGTCAGGGATGTTTATAGAGTAATTTCATGCTTTAGGGAAGGTCTAGACTTTTCCCTTCTGATTCTTAGAGTATGTGCATGGGAAAGGGGTACAATTTGGACTATAGATCTAATAATCATCATTTTAAAAAACTTAATGTCATCAAGAAACACAGCACTAAATACTTTTCATACTGGAGAGAGGAGAGGTTCAGTCATTGAAAACCTGTCTGCTCTTGGGGTGGTCCCCTGGGCAAACATTTCCATCTGTTGAAAGAAAAAGGCCCATGTCCCTGACATTACATAACCCCAAACCTTGCTTGAATCTAACATGGTTACAGTCTTGAGCAGCAGAACAAATATGGTGAGCTGTAAGTCCTCTCTGTAGATATAATCAGGAATGTTCTTGTCCTAGCTGTTGAACGTTGGCCCAAGAAGATCTCAGCCAGGCCAGAGAAGAGAGCCCAGAAAAATCATCACTGTTTCTGTGAAAGAAGATGTCCATCTCAAAAAGGCTGAGAATGCCTGGAAACCCAGCCAGAAACGAGACAGCCTGGCTGAGGACCCTGAAAATATAAAGACCCAGGTGAGACTTCTCAGAGACATCAGTTGATTCATAATCTTATCTTTACTTGTTAATTAAATAAACTTAAATCAAGCTATTCTAAAATGATTTAATTTCCAGATCCAGTGGCCTTTTCTCAAACATCATTCTTCTTGACCTCTCTGCAGCCTTTAACAACGTCAGTCTTCTCCCAGATGCTCTCTCTTCCCAAGCTTTTGTCATGCTGACCTCTCCTTGGCTCTCTCCCTGCCTGTCTGGTCACACCTGCCTCAGTACTCTTTGCGTGATCTTCATCCAGAGCACGCCCACTAACTGTGGGTGTCCCCCAGGGCTCTATCCTTGGGCCTCGTACTCCTCCCCCTTTCCCATCTCCCTTGGTGATCTGATCAGCTCCCAAGGGTTTGGTGATCATCTCTACACAAAAAGTTCTCAAGATTTTTATATATGATCCTTCATTTCTCCTGAGCTCCAGTCTCATATCACCAACTGCTTTTTTGGAGATCTCACCCTGGATGTCCTGTAGGTATCTCAAGTTGAACATGTCCAAGAGAACTCATCATTTTTCCCTCAAAACCGTTTCCTCTGTCAGGCTTTCCTTTTCTTGTCAAGAGTGCCGCCATCCTCCCAGCACCCAAGGATTGCAACCTTGATGTCATCCACAGCACCTCTTCTGCCCTCCCTCCACGTATTCCGTCTGAAACCTGACCCCCTCTTGCCTTCTGACACAGACCCGCCTTGGCTCAGGCCCTCCTTACCTCATGTCTCACCTCTTTGCAGTGGCCTTCTGGCTGTCCCTGCCATAGGCCTGTTTGCTCTTCCTTCTGTCCTTAACTAAACTTCCAGTGATTTTTCACAAGTGCAGATCTGACCATGTCACTCCCTCACTTAATAATTTCCAGTGACTCCCTGATACCTCCAGGGTCAAATAGAAAATCCTTCCTTTGGCTTCCTCCCTTTGAGGCTTGTTATAAAGTCTCTGCATGAGGCCTGCACAACCTGCAGCCTGAGGGCACGCCAGAGGATTTCAGGGTGCTTTCCTCTACATTTTTTGTGGGCCGCAGGTTGTGCAGGCCTGCTCTACATACTCTGCTGTCCAACAGCACTGGCTTCCTTACACTGTTCCTTACACGTGTCACTCCTCTCCCAGAATCTTCTCCCTCCACAAGACTCAGGTCAAATTCTGCCTTCAGTGGGAGGCCTTTCCTGGGCCACCCAGTTCTGGTGCCTGCCTTCTGAGATGACCACCCGCTTAAACCTTTTAGGTACATCTTTGTTTATTGGCATGCTGTTTTCCTCTTTAGACTGAGCTCTTTGAGGCTAGGCACCATGGTTTTTAATCTACCTTTCCATCTCTAGCATTCAGCAAGAGTACCTGGCCCATAGTAGGTGCTTAATAAGGGCTTGTTCACTGATCAACCAAAATAGACCACAAATTTTAGATAATCTTGTCATTTTTCTAAGGTTTGTTTTCTCTCTAACTTTGTATATCTTTATTACAAGGTTCCATGATTTTATCTGTGTGAAACCTCCTTCTTTTGAATGCCAGTTGCACTATGTCCTCCCCTTCATAGACAATCTTCTCAAATTTCTGCTGATGAACACATTGATGACTTAGTGGTCAGCTTGCTGTTGATGAATCTCTCTGTGCTTGACTCCTCTGTTCCTTGGAAAATAAATACACTATCAGCCTTTCTAACTTTATTTGGAGCTTTTCCACTTTGGCATGTAGGGACCTGTCAAAACTTATGTTGGGCTTTATTTCCATACTTTTCTTGAAAACAGCTTGCCTGAAACTTCCAGAAACTTCCATCATAGACCTTGTTTTCCATCCCAGTTTAGGTAGATCCTTGCAGTTTAAATCTGCAATGGTTGTGTCTCCTAAGACCTCCACTAAGACCCTAATTTTAGTGCAAGTCTTATGGATACCTTGAGGGTGGTTTTTACTCCACTCTCTTTGTTATGCCATTGGAAAATAAAATTAGAACTGTTACATTTATCAATGAACTTAATCTGGGTTCAGAAATTAAGAGTAAGTTTTAGAAAGTATTCACTTATACTTCCTAAAGTTCAGGCTGTCTTCTTCTGTCCCACGGAGCCTGTGCCCAATGTTTAACTGTTTCTTTTCTCTTGTCCTGCTAATGACCGGGAAAATGAAATGGCATGGGTCTCTTTCTGCTGTTCAGTTCTAGACTAGGTGCTCTAAGTCTTATTGGAGTTGGAGATCCCTTTGGATTCACTCTAGTGAATAAAACTAACTTTTTTTGGGTTAGGCAACGGGGTTAAGTGACTTGCCCAGGGTCACACAGCTAGTAAGTGTTATGTGTCTGAAGCCAGATTTGAACTCAGGTCCTCCTGACTCCAGGGCCGATGCTCTATCCACTGTGCCACCTAGCTGCCCCTAAAACTAACTTTCTGTTAGAATTTAGTAAAAATAAAGATGTCATTTTTTTCCTCATCCAAGTTTTCATGGATTCTACCAAATGGGGGTCTGTAGACACCAAGTTAAAAACTTCTGATCTAAACTATCCTCACCTCTTACCTAGACAACTACCATGGCTTCCTGTTTCGTTTTCCTAACCTCAGTCTCTCCCTGCTCTGATAATCTGTTTTTTTAAAATATGTTTTAAGTTTTATTTTTATTTTCAGTTTCACATTCTTTCCCTCCCTCTACCCCTTTTCTCACTGAGAAAGCAAGAAATACGATGCCCATTATGCATAGGAAGTCATGTAAAATGGATTTCCACCTCTAATACAGTGTATACCAAAGGCATCAGAATAATCCTTACTAAAATACTGACTTCATCAAATCACTTGTCTCTCCTCAGAAACTTCAGAGACTTTTTATTGCCTCTACAATAAAGCCCATTTTCCATCTATAACCTTCTCACCCACTTCTCCCAAATATGTACCCTCTGATCCTTCCACATTTGCCTCCTCATTGACCCTGCATATTCTCTGTTTTGTTCCAACTCCAAGACTTTGCTCCCTGGTGTTCTTCCACCTAGAATGTCCTCCTTTCCACCTCTGTCTCATTATACAGATCTTTCAAGATTTAGCTCAAGTGTAATTTTCTCCATGAGTATTTCTCTGACCCAGGGTTCTGACCTCAACTAATCTCCTGAATTTTATGATATTTCCTGTACCATTTGATTAATTATTCCAAGGACAAGACTGATTTCTCCAGCTACATCCTTAGTTTCTGATGGGCCTGGCCTATGCTGTGATCTTGATGTCTTTTGTATCCTCATCCAGGACCCCAGTGCTGGGAACAAAAGAGACGTTCTTGCATCCTTGTTGAAGGAAGGAATTTGAGCCAAGACTTTTTTCTCGGTTTTTTTTTTCACCTTGAAGTTTCTTTGTGAAGCTCAGTGATTGTAGACTTGGAGTGAAAAGCATCGCCTCTTCCCAAGCGTGATAGGGACATTTTGCTGTGCTCCTTGTTACAAAAAACATTTTAATGTAATTGTTAGAGATTACAAAGAGTAATAGCCATGGACTTCGTTGGCAAGAGAGAGGAAGGAGTAGAAGTCTCATCTCTGAGTTAGAAGTCTTCACCTTCTATCCCATGCATGACACTCTGCTCAGTAGTGTCTGGTCTTTGCTTAAACCTTTCTTGCATCAGAAATTGTACTTCTATGTGAAGTAGCTTTGATTATTAGAAAGTTCTTATTCTGACTGAGGCAGATGTCTTGCCCCCTAAAACTTAGCTTTATCCCCTGGAGCTTTACAAAAGTAATTTGCTTGCTTTTCTGACAGCCCCTTACTAGGCTGGTACATTGCATTTCTTTAATCAATGTTCATTGTTAATAATACTGGATATTGAACTTAATATTTTTATTAAGTTTTATTTTTAATTCCAAATTCTTTCCCACCCCCAAATTGAGAAAGCAAGAAAAACAAAGCTCATTACAAGCATGTGATATTTGTCTTTAGAACAATTTAATCCTGACTAGTTTTTCATAAAGCATACATAGCTTCATGAATCTTTGTGGGTGTTCTCTTTTTACACTCTTTACAGGAGCTTTTCCGAAAGGTTCGGAGCATTTTAAATAAATTGACACCACAGATGTTCAACCAGCTGATGAAGCAGGTGGCAGAACTCACTGTTGACACGGAGGAGCGACTGAAAGGAGTTATTGACCTGGTCTTTGAGAAGGCCATTGATGAACCCAGTTTCTCTGTGGCGTATGCAAACATGTGTCGGTGTCTAGTCACGGTAAGAAGAGAGGCAGGAGTAAAACCAGAAACCCTCGTGAGATCAATTCTCCCCTCATTGTGCATTCCTCCTAGGAGTCTTCATGGGGCTATATAAAAAGGAGAGTCTATTTTTAGCATTTTAATAGAATTTTTGTGCTTCTCTATTTAAAACAGAGCCTTCATTTTGAATGTGGTATATATATATTTATACATTTTTTATTTGGTGACACACTTCGAAAAAAATATTAGTATGTGGCATCAGAAGATAAAAGATCCAGAAAATAGAGAAAAAATGAATGCTGGCTGAGTGGTATCAGAGCCCCTCACATTCCCCTGAGATGAGCAGTTTTAGCTGTGGGACTCTAGATGCATGCTTATACTCTACTGTAACAAAAGAATCCAAACTTATCTATTAATGTGGTTTTTCTTATCTCAGTCTCTTAGGATATTAAAAGGTGACTGTTCTGTAATTTTAAAAATGTACAAGATTGTTTAAATCTGAGGTTCTGAGCCTTGTTGGTGATCAGGCTGGTGAAACTTCTGGACGCCTTCTCAGGATCATGGTATTAAATGTATAAAATAAAATCCATACAATTAAAAAGGAAACCAACTCTATTGAAATGCAATTATCAAAAAGTTTTTAACAACAAGTCCACAAGCCCCCAGATGAAGAGTCCCTGGTTTAGATATTAATGGAATCCCTTCTTATAAATCTCCACAGTCCTTCAGGGTCTGCTTTCCTCCCCTTTGCCAATGCTCTTTTGTCTCCTTCAACACAATTGATTGGTGCCTCTCAGTCTTTACAGCTGGATTTCCATGCTGGCAGATCTAGGGCAGAGCAAGAAAGGGGAACCAGAGCAGCACTGGTCACAACTCTTGTTGGTCTTTTCTGGTCCACATTCGTCAAGCCGTCATGTACTCTCTCCTTCCTCTTCTCATTGCTCCTGGTTACCAGGCTTCTTGAGTATCAGTAACTAGTTCTTTCATGTCGTTTGGTTTATAACTTAATAAGTAACTAGTTCTTTCGTGTCATTTGGTTTATAACTTAATTATCATGATCTCTTGTGATTTTTCATTATTTAGCAACATATGGTGAACACACAAAGATAGTATGTGTGGAGTACCAGAGACTGGTCACATAGAGGAAGGAGTAAGTGATCAATGTGGGCTGGGTAAGGAAAGCTTTCATAGAGGCGGCAGACCTGATAAGATGGGCAGTATAAGTAGGTGGAAAAGGTAGTAATAGAGGGAGTCAACAGAGTGGTAGATAAGGGTGGAAAAACCTGCCTATAGAACTACTTAGAGGCTTAGCATTATAAGTACTGTAAGATGAAAAGAGAAAGTGATAGACTATTGGGCCCAACTCCCTCTTTTACAGAGGAAGAGACTATTTACCGTAAAGATTGTGACTTTCCCATTAATCAGTGAGTTATCTTTGGAGCTGGAACTGGAACCAAGACCCCCAAAATTCCAGTCTAGTAGAATGGATAAAAAAGGTAGCAAGGAACTGTTGATGATTTTTTTTTAATAGGACAGTAATAGGAAGAAATCATTGTTTTAATTATCTGACAGTGGTATGAAAAATTAATTAGATTGAGGAGAGCTTGGAGAACAGGAAGACCAGTTAGGCTACTATTCTAGTAATTCAGGCATGAGGTAATAAGGGCCTGACCCCTGTCCAAGGTAATTAAAAGGGTCATCCCTAAATGATCTAAATCATAATAAGTGATAATGGATAATGGTAGAAGAGATAGATGCATTGAAGATGAATCTTCTGGTTTCAGTCTAGGTGAATTGGGAGACTGATTTTACCATTGACAGAAATTGAGAAATTAGGGCCATCCGTTTTAATGACTGGGGAGAGCATGGTTTAGACGTATCGAGTTTGAGGTACTGGTGAGGTATTCAGACACACTTCATGTACATACAATAATATACAGAATTCTCCTCTCAGCAGCTGATTGGCACTCATGAGAGGTGAGGCTAAGTGAAGGCATTAAGGGGTCATAAGCATAGTGGCATAGTTGAAATTTTGAAAATGGTTGAGATCTTTGGGAGACAGATACATAGGCTGGCAAATTAACAATAGCTTTTCATATTTTCTGCATGTAAGTGGGAGGAAGAGGAAGAATTAGCCAGACAGATCCAAAAGATTTCAGACTGATAAGAGGAAAACCAGGATAACATATTATCCTGGAGACCAAGGAAGGAAGCATACTTGACCTGGGTGGGGAGAGCAGGAACAGAGAAGTGTCAACAGAACAAATGCTGTACAGCAATGAAGGGAACTGAGGATGGGGAGAAAAAAAAGTCGTATACAATAGCAAAATCCCTGGGGTTGCTCTTTCTCCCTGGCATTGAGGACTTAACTAAAGCCTTGTTTCTGTTTTCATAGAGAGCCTAATGAAGTCTGGTTGTTAGAAAAGCCTTCAGGCATGATGTCCAGAGCATGAATCATAGCTACTAAGCCATGAGCTCTTAAGCCAAGAGTTCTTTCAGGGACAGAGAAGGCAGTTTTAGCAGTCGTAGATGTAAGACAGTCCAAGTTAATGCAGCGTGAGTTCTTCAGGTAACGTTATTTGAAATGCTTGGTTTGCTACAAAGAAACTACTTGGGCTACGTCATATAAACACCCTGATATACATGTTTCAGCTGAAAGGTAAGCTAAAGACGTTAACCAACAAGATACAGGAGCAGAAAAGGAATAGGAAACTTTCAGAGATTTGGTTCGCAGTACTGCATTTATCTGAGCCACGAAACATCAGGATTAATTTGATGAAAATAATGAGGAAGTTTAGGAGCCACCAAATAAAAAGTGAGAACTCCACAGGGTTTGCCAACAGGATAGTTTGTCCATCTCTAAGAAGGCAGTGCTTAACTCCATCAAAAATAAAGAGCGAGCAAAGCTTAGAAAGGTGTAAGATTCTTGGCTTAGTAAGAAGGCAAATAAAAGTCAGTTTTATGCTGATAGTAATAATCCAAAGCACTTTCTACAGTACCCTCTGATGGCTATTTATGGGCCGAAGACCTATAGTGCATGTCAGCTACTCAGTGCTGGTGGAGCCACATTGATTAGTGATAAGGACATGATCCTAGATGTAACTTAATTCCTAGAGAAATGGGCTGAACACTTCCATGGTGTTCTCCAGTAGAACATCGTCAATCAGTGCTGAGGCCATTGACTTGTTTTTTTGTTGTTGTTGTTGTTGTTTTTGTTTTTTTTTTTTTAAGGCAGTTGGGGTTAAGTGACTTGCCCAGGGTCACACAGCTAGTAAGTGTCAAGTGTTTGGTCTGAGAATGGATTTGAACTCAGGTCCTCCTGACGTCAGGGCCGGTGCTCTATCCACTGCGCCACCTAGCTGCCCCTGACTTGTTTTCTTTAGGTAGAAGTCAGTGTCTCCCTAGCCAAACTTCCAACTGAAGAAAAGGCTTTGAATGCTCTTAGACTCCTCTCATGTTGCAAAGTGCTTGGTGCTGATTCCGTTCCAGCAGAGATTTACAAGGCAGGGGTCCACTGCTCGTACGAAAGCTGACTGAAATTTTCTGGGTTATGTGGCAAGAGAAGGTTATCCCCCAGGAGTTCAGGGTTGCTTCCGTTGTCCGTTTTTCTAAACATAAAGGACATAGGTTGTCTCTCATCATATAGGGGTTCTCCTGGTGTCATTTCTGGCAAGAGTCCTCCTTAATAGGCTGATCTCTCACCTGGAAGGTGGTCATCTACCTGAGAGCCAGCATGGCTTCAAAAAGGGCTGAGGAACAGTCAATATGGTGTTTACTGCCTGACAGCTCCAGGAGAGATGCCAGGAGCAGAACAGAGGTCTGTACACAATGTTTGTTAATCTGACACAGGCCTTTGATATTGTCAGTTGTGAGGGCTTGTGGAAAATTATGGCAAAATTTGGCTGCGTGGAAAAGTTCATCATTATTGTACACCAGTTCTTCAATGGCATGCTTGCATGGGTTCTGGATAATGGATGATGGTCTCATGCTTTTCTAGCATGATGTTTTCAGCAATGTTGTCAGATGTTTTCAACCAGGACAAACATGGCATCGAGGTCAGTTATCATACTTATGGTAAATTATTTAACTTGAAAAGGCTACAAGCCAAGACTAAAGTGGAGGGAGAGTTGGTTCATGACTTTTTGTTTACAGGAGATTGTGTACTCAATGCAGCCTCCGAAGCTGAGATGCAACAGAGTAGCTTGTGCTAATTTTGGCCTGACAACACCAACAAAACAGGTTCTCCACTAGCCAATACCACACCATCCATTTGTGGAACCATTTGGTGACAGCAAATGGAAAAATTTTGAATACTGTGAATAAATTCACTTATCTTAGGCAGTACACTTTCCATGGATGTACATATAGATGATGAGTTTGATACATGCATTACCAGAGCTAGCTCAGTGTTTGGGAGACTCTGAAAGAAAATGTAGGAAAGAAGAGGTATTAGATTGACTGCCAAACTGAAGGTCTACAGAGACGTTGTACTGACCTCATTGTTGTATGCCTGTGAAACCTGGACAATCTACCACCACCATGCCAGGAAGCTGAATCACTTCCATTTGAATTGTCTTAGGAAGATTCTGAAGATTACCGGGCAGTGTAAGGTACCGGACAGTGAGGTCTTTTCTTGAGCTGAACTACCAAGCATTCAAACTACCACAGAGAGTGTAACTCTGAAGGGGCTGGCCACATTGTTCAAATGCCAAATGTATATTTGCCTAAAAGTTTATTTTGTAGAGAACTCACCCAAGGCAAGTGCTCACACAGAGATCAGAAGAAATGACACAAGGACACTCTCAGGGTCTCTCTGAAGAGCTTTGGAATCAGTTGTGAGGCATGGGAGACACTGGCACACGACTGTCCAGCATGGCCTGCCTACATCAGAGAAGGCACTGTGCTCTGTGAGCAAAGCAGAATTGTAATAGTTCAAAGGAAATGTGAGGTGTGCAGATTTAGAGATATCTCCTTCCCAATTGTTCATACTGACTCCCAAGCTTGTATTGGTCTGATCAG